TGCACTTCGAAGAATTTCAGTTTTGCATCTGATCCTTCAAAATGGCCGACAATTGCCGCGACCTCTACTCCAGAAGCTGTATGATGCAATCAATGACTACAACAACATCAAGCAGCGGGATGATCAACGACCAAGATGGGGCATCCACATGACAGAAGCCCACTTACTTGCGATTGCTGATACCCCGGTTCCTGCCGATCGTGAACATGCTAACCCAGCCGCTGGCAAATCGAAAGCAGCCCCGAAGGCAGCACCAGCACTGGGCAGAGTGCCAAAAGCGAAAGCATCATCATCAGCACCATGGAGAACCGTCGAAGCCGCTCCTCCGCCAAAACAAGCTCCAGTAACCCCGCCACAGAAAGGTGGAAAAGACAAAGGGAAAGGTGGAAGATCTTATTCGCACCGTGGTGGCGACTGGAACCAACATGGATACTATGGGTGGGGATATAGATGATAAATCGATATGACCTCTGCATAGGTCCTGATTGAACCTGGCGAAGCGAGGCAGCAATCATTGCTCGAGATTCATCTCTACTTCATTTTGAATGATTTCTGAGAAGACTCTGAGCCGGCTAATTTAGAACCACATTTTTTTTTTGAACATCATTGCACGAGACGCTGAGTTTCTACAGCGGTCTACATCTCAACCGACGAAGGAACGGGAAGGTAAAATTCTAGTTCCATAGTCATCTTTGTGTTTCGATTTTAATTCGCATGCTTGAGTGGGCTTCCATGCTGGCTACGCCACATCGGATGAACCTCAATGCTGTACACCGACTACGTCGTGTCAGCACGCACGTGAACAGAACCTTTTTTTTTGGTAGAGATCGTAGCAAGCCGCCATGTAGATTTGAAGTTCTAAACGGACTTTAGCTCTCCATAATTCAATAAATGAACAGCTGCAGATGCATTGGAACGGTTTAAGGGACACTCCTTAGCGCGTGGCCAACAAAGTTGGCCATGCGTGGGGGGTGCGAATGGGATGTAGACTACAGCACTATACATACTCCCATGTAGATGTTCCCTTAATCATCCATGACCAAAGGGATGCATAAACTGCCCCTTTGGCTCAAGACAACTGCCAGCTCCGTGATAAAAGAAAGCCATGCCGAAACTGCAACTCCCTTGTCGTCGTCAGTGAGAGAGCAACTACATTCTCGAACAGTCAATAGCATATATCGGGGAGATAACCTCCGATTCACATATATCATATATATATATATCATATATATATACATATCATATATATATATATCATACATATATATATAAATCATATGTATATGTATATATATATATCATATCATATATATATATATCATATCATATATATATATATCATATCATATATATATATCATATATATATACATATCATTCATATATATATATATCATATATATATATATCATATATATATAAATGATATATATATATATATATATTACTAATTCAGTTGGCAAACAGTTGCTGCCGCTGAAAATCCCATGTCATGCCATGACTGGTCCATCAAGATTGCGCCAAAAATACATAGGGGTACCCCCAAATAATCCAGCTATTTGTCTGGGGTTTTCCATGAAATAAACCATCCAACTATGGAGGTTTCCACAAATGGATGGTTTATGTCATGGAAATTCCGAAGTTCTTATTGAAGTGGATGATATGGATGATGACTGGGGGTACCTATATTTATGGAAACCCCTATAGTTCCATGTGATTTTCGCAACTCTCCATTTAGTTGGGCGATTTCCCAGCCAGGTCAAGTGCTTGAGGTGAGGGGCGCCGCCAAATGGGCTGCCCCGGCCCAGCCTGTTCCAGGGCCAGTCACCGAATGAGTTGAGAACTTATTTCATGGACTTTGAATGGGAATTACAGTTATGGCCCTTTACCAGTTATAAGTACTTATAACCCCATTTATAGAATGTATAATCCCACTTATAACCAGTTATAACTGATAAATGGCCATAACTGTAAAGAATATAATAATGTGTTTTTTTGAGAACCGCAGATGTGCATATGTTATTGATACGTTTATGGTCGGTTGATGACTGTACAGGATTACACTACCTAGTATATTGGGGATTGTCAAAATCCACTGTGGCAATCACCATCAATCAACCATGAAATCATGAAATTATTGTTCCAATAATATATGTATATATAGATAGTAACTGGGGTGCTGTAGATATATTACACACTGTGGATGGTTGCAACATCCTGCACCACCTTGGACCTTGGATAATTGAAACCCTATACCCTCTGGTAAATTAACATAGCTATGGAAAATCACCATTGTTAATTGGTAAATCAACTATTTCTATGGCAATTTTCAATAGCTATGTTGAATTACCAGAGGGTAAACCATGGTAAAGTGACCCATTTATATTTATAATGAACTATAATGATATATATATATATGTATAACCTGAGTTTTAGGAGTTATTCGTGACTGTTAAGGGCCATAACTGTAAGTATATTATAGAATAAACCCCCATTCTCAACTAGTGAAGGACAATACGCTGGGCCTTTGCGTGGCTGCTGCGATCCTGGAGGAATATATCAAGGGGAGCAGTGGTGTTAATAGTTGACGTAATTGACTAACAATGATAGTGATTGATAGTGATTAATAGTAAGTGATACCTAATATTATTGGTCTAATGGTATCACTGATATTAGTGATATAATGATTGGTATCCCATCAATACTAAGGATAGTGATTAGTGGGATAGTGATAGTGATTGATAGTGATTAATAGTAATAGTGACTAATAGTGATGGTGATCAATGGGATAATTAGGTAGCAATATTAGTGCCTGATTATTAATCACTCATTCATGATGATCAGAATATTTGGAATAATTAGTGTCTGAATATTGGGTAACATTATCATCTGGTTGGTGGTTTCAAACATGGCTTTTATTGTCCATAATATATGAGATCATCCTTCCCATTGACTTTCATATTTTTCAAGATGGTTATTGCACCACCAACCAGATCATCATTAATCATTTATTGAATCACCATGATTGGATAATTGGAATAATTAGTGTCTGAATATTAGGTAACATTATCATGAATGCTGATTAATTTGGATGAACTAAACAACGACCCTACGTTCCGTTCGTTTTCCGTCACTGGTTCATGATGGTTCGGAGTGCGGGAATCGGGGCCCTTTGCTGGCCGAAGTGTTCAGCTATTGTGGGATAACAGCTATTCTCAGGTCAGTGAATTACTATATTTCAGCCAGACTTTTGAACTATACCTGTTTTTGTTTCCGTATTCAATGTATACCATGTTTGAATATAAGTTTGTGAAAATTGTATCACATCATGACATCATATCATGTCCCATAAGGTACAAGTTTTTAAATCAATGTGGCCCATATGCCCCATGTATGGAATATGTTCTTCCATTTTGGCAATAAATGCTGGTCAAATATTGATTAATATATATATATATATTTACATATTCCATACATATTCCATACATATTTTACATGTGGATGCTTGAACAGGGTAATTCAACATAGCAATGTCAGCAATGTCTGTTCTTTTGATGCTTCGATCCTCCAGGATCGATCCATAATCCTTTCGTGCCATGCCATGACCAAAGTGTCACGTAGCGCGCTCGCACCCGAACTCGAGCAGCGACAATGCCTCGAGGACGGGTCGTGTCAGAAAACGTTTTTTCACGATGCCGCGGTGCCGTGTCCTTCACAGGGCGGTTCCACCCTCTGGTAAACTAACAGTTTGCTATTGAAAACGGCCATTTATAGTGGATTTACCAATTAACAATGGTGATTTTCCATAGCTATGTTAGTTTACCAGAGGGCGCATTGATCAGAAACCAACGATATGCCATGATGGGTGAGATCTACATGGCCATGGCAAAAATTGGCAGGATGGTTTCATCCTAAGTCAACGTAACGCCAAATCCACCGGATTGGATTAATGCCCCCCTTCCGCCAAATAGGCGCCCGGTTTATAGTGCCAAATATGTGTAAATCTTCACTAAATGTTAAAATGGAAATATATCAGGAATGTTTAAATATGAACTCTGGAATGGACTATATATATATATATCTATATATCATATATATATAGATGGTTAGTCATTATCCCATTATTTCTTATGAGAAATCCATTTAGTTGGGATAATGATTAACCAGTGGATTTGCCATCTATGGGGGTGATCCGAGTTGTTGGATCAATTCAGAGACCCTTCGGTAATCAAAAGTGGAAAATGTCCTATGCAAATTCACTAGAAATGAATGGTTTATAGCTGGGAGCAACAAAGGGCAAAGGGATATCCTGCATTCTCTTTTTTTTTTTGCTTGTTGGTGGGTTCAGGATGTTTCAAATATGGTTGGCGAACGCCCCTGGTATCAATAACTACGCCCCTGGTATGCCAATATTTCTAGTGTGGCTTGGCACCACCAAGCGGCTCAATACTGCTCCTCAGATGAAAAAAAGCCAGACACGATTCGAAGGGATCATTATCAATGTCTATGTTTTTTTTGTTCTGAGGTCAATTATATAATTACATATACTATATTATATCTATTATATAGTTTACATATACTATATTATATTGTAATGATTATATATATATATATGTATATATATATATGTATCCATTGTTCTAAAATCACAAGACATGGTCAGACATCGCCCCAAACACCGATGGCTTTAGCGATCCCCGCCGTTGATTGCTTTGGCTTAAGTCGCACATGGCGAAGTGGGATCTATGGCGCCGGCAATGGCGCCGGGGTATGCCGTTTTTAAACCAACTGATTTCGGCAACGACTTGGAGGCAACGACTTGCTGGCTGACAAATCTGCACCTTGATTCTTACACATATCGGATGTCTCATTTTTTCTTATCAGAGGTAGAAAATGGTATAATTAAGTGTTATGTCAACTGTAGGTGGATGTGTTCGCTAATGTTCACTGGAGTTCATAACCAGACCCAAGAGACTAACATTGAGATTTTCTGGGGGAGTTTTCACAGCTGACCACGCGGCGCGGATACGCTACGCCCATCACAGGCCGAAAATCGGGCCGGGTTTTTGAGCCGGGCCACAGAATTTCGCCAGAAATGAGGTATTATTTTGTTTGAAAGCAAATAGCCTGCAACAGGTGTTTGATTCAACATTGAGCGGCCATTTCAGGTACCTAAATTGGAGGTAGCTCATATATAAAGCTTATGTAAGGGCTATGTAAGGAACAAAATATGATACAGGAGCTCCATTTTAGGATCTTGAAATTCCCCTTTATCTTCGGGGATGTGGACGATGATATCCTTGAACCTGTGCTTTGTCACTGACCGGCTTTTGAAGAATCTGATAGCCTAAAAATTAGGTAGTCTAATATCCAAACAAGTTCCTAGATGGCTAACAGATAACATAACATTTTGTTTGGATATAATCTTTACCCATTTGTTATGTGCTTCTTTGCTAAATGGGTAGATATGTAAAATGATATGATATTTTTGACACTTTTAATTCATGGTTGAAGAGTCCCTCACCCCATGCTGGCGCAAAATCCCACTAACTCACCAGCAAAAAATCATCATTTAATGTCTTTTGTTGCTTCAAAGTCAATCAAAATCCCATTCAATACATCTATTTAAATCCTTCGAAGTCACCGTGAAATCACCAGAAATCTTTATACATCCTTATGTTTATCACTATAGAGAGAGGCCAATCACTCAGAAAAACAACAACAACTTGAAAATCCAAATCCCGATTGAAATCCCTAGGAAAATCATGAACAAATCCCCAACTTACCCTCTGGTAATTTAACATAACTATAGAAAATCACCATGAATAGTGGATTTTCCCATTGAAAATGGTGATTTTCCATAGTCTTGTGGCTGTTTACCAGAGGGTAATCCCCAACGTATCGACCACATCTCTCTGCGGTGGAAATCCAGCCACGGCTTTTGCCAGGGATGGGCCGATGGAGTCGCTCGCCAGGCGGAAGAATCCCAAATTGATGGATATAAAAATCGAGGAATCATTAATCATAATAGCTATAATATATAAAATCCATGAATCATCATTGAAGATGGATATAAAAATCATATTCATCATCTAGAATCATTTTTATAGAGTAATCACCTAATTTTTATAGGGAAAGCATATGGCATCATCCCAAAATGGCCTTATTAGTCCAGGTTAGTGAATTATGATAATTTGCCCAGAATATCATATATAGCCCCCAAGAAGTGGCAACAATCCTAGCTATTTAAGGCCCAGCAAGTGGGGTATGATGAAGATTTCATCAACAAAATATTGGGAACCCCCGAACATGGATATAACTCTGGAAAACCTGGAAATTGTGATGTAAATATCATAAAGGATGCATCCTCGATGTGTTTTTACCTGATTTTTGTTTTGGACCGCTTTATACTTTTATTCAGCAATATGTTTTGGGTTTTAATTAAGTACGTCTTGCATTTCAGCCTTGGTTTTGTTGAGCTAATTCCCATGTCAACACCAAGAATGATGCACAATGTTCAAAAACCACGGATTTGGAATCAAATACTGCTTGGTGGTTTGGAACATTTTTTATTTTTCCATATATTGCGAACAATCATCCCAACTGAATTGAATTTCATATTTTTCAGAGGAGTAGGTATACCACCAATTAGACAGTAGTCCATAGCATGGGATTAATCACCATTAGTTGCTATGGGATTGGACAAACACAAATGTGTGGGTATGAAAGCATGGGATTGCCTGGGTTCTGATGGATATATCATATCAATATAATATAATATGATTATACTGTATGTTTTGGCTAGGTTTATACGCCAACTTATCTTGGCTGCGTCAGTGATTTCTTACTTCTACGTTGGTTGATCCACCATTTGGGGAATTTAGTGGGTGCATTATGTATTATGTCTTTCTTGCTAGAGAGGCCTGGGTCAGCAAATAAAAAAGTTATAAACCACTAAAAGGGTTCATTTCGCTCTAAACCACTTCTAGATGGGTTTTGCACAGCTTTTTTGTTAGATGGCTTCATAAATCAATCAACAAAAACTAGGAGTGCTATTCACTCATCCCTCCCAGCACTCAGAAATCTGGTTATCTTTCCATGGGATGTCCCATATCCCCATTGATGATACACCACCTTGTGTTCTTCAGATATCCCAAGTAAAAATGATATCAATTTGATATCAAATTGATATCAATTCCATTGATATCCCATGAAAATCACGATGAAAATAAACGCTAGTCACCATGAAAATCACTATAATTATTAGATAAATATGTTGAACCTTCCATTAGAAGCACCATTACTGTACTCACTTTTGCTCACTATTCATGAATGATTAATATTCGTGAATCACAATGAAATTAACTATGAATCATCATGAAAATCACCTTTAATTGTCAGTAATCACAATATATCTATATATATATATGTGTTTATTAGATATCCCAAGTTATTGATGTTCCATTGGTCTACAGTTCACCACGATGAAAATTGCTGTTCACCACTATTATTGTTATTATCGTAAAAAAAAGTATTAATCCATTAATTACAGTAATCCATATTAGTTAAAGTAATTATATGAATTCCATATTGTTGATGATACTATATATTAATACTAAGTACAGTTACTATTTATACTAAGTACAGTATTAATTACAGTAATTACTGCTACTTAAACGTAATTATACAATAGTTGATTAATAGTAATTAACTAATAGTAACTACAATGGGGATGCGTTACTATTGGTTAATGATTAAAACAAACACATCCCCATCGTTCCAAGACAGGTCCCCGGCCCGGCTTACGCCTCACCGCCGCAAAGCCGCGACGGAGCGGGTCTCGTCGCAGTCGAGGCAGGCTTTAACCGTTTAACCATTGATTTTTGGGGGAAATTCATGGGGATTTATGGTGATTTTATGGGATTTACCCTATGGTAATTTGTTACATAGCTATAGAAAATTGCCCATAGAAATAGTTTGGTAAATTTACATAGCTATAGAAAATTTCCCATTTTTCCCATTTATAGTTGATTTACCTATTAAAGATGGTGGATCAGTTCGTTGTATGTTGGGTAATGGTTGATTTGTTTCGGAAAATCTTTGTTTCCAAACTTACGGGATCATCAGGGATTGCACCAGCGAAGATGGTGATTCAACCAAGCAAAACAGGAACTGGATAACTGGAATGTGCTGGATTTTGCTAGTTAAGTGACATTTAAGATGTTTTAAGCAGGTTTTGGTTAAACATGAGGTTGATGTGCTTTTTTTCAGCATGGGCTTAGCTAATGGGCTTGGGTTTGAATCAGCAAAAAACATCGAGCGGCTCACCATGGCGAAGTATCGGCAAACCGTTTGCCACAGCTCCGTTTTTTGAACGGCCAGTGCATGGTTTGTTAAGGCAGCTGGCAATGTATCTTTGAAATGGAATACGATTTCATATCCCACTAGAGCATGATATATTCCTCAGATTTGTTGTTGCACGCTGAATATATTTTCGTGCGCAAAACCATCGAAAGGCAAATCAAATCAAGAAACGCGTGTGTCTGAAAATTGGCTTTCAAATGGCCAATTTGTTAATAGGATTTAAGAGGGAAAATTATGAGAGACCATCAAATTTTAGGGAATGCTAGCCGTGATGACTATACAAATGACCCAGCACCCAAACTATTGTCCAGTTGCAATAAGTAATTAGTCTCTTTCACCCAGAAATAAAGCCCCAAAGTCCTGGTTTGGGCAGATGGACACCACGAAAAAACACCAGCATGGTCGTGTCATTCGTTGTATACTTTCAGATCAAATTCGCCTTGATTCGGGCAATGGTTTCTGCAGGCTTTGCTCATGCTGTACTTCTCCGGAGTGATGGCTGTGCAGTTGCCATTGGTCGCAACAGGTTTGGACAATGCGATGTCCCAGCTTTGGATGAGGGGATGACATACACCCAGATTTCTGCAAAGCCTGCAGAAATCTCGGTGTATCTCATCCCCTCATCCAAAGCTGGGCTTCTGCGCAGTGATGGCAGTGCTGTTGCCATCGGAGACAATGAACGGGAACAACGCAACATTCCGGCTCTGTATTCAGAGCCGGAATGTTGCGTTGTTCCCGTTCATTGTCTCCGATGGCAACAAAATACACCCAGGTTTCTGCAGGCTTTGCTCATACTGTACTTCTCCGGAGTGATGGCAGCGCTGTTGCCATCAGAAGCAATGGGGATGGACAATGCAACATCCCCACTCTGGATGAGGGGAGCACATACACCCACATTGCTGCTGGCGGTGCTCATACTTTGCTTCTCCGAAGTGATGGCCGTGCTGTTGCTGTTGGAAGAAACAGAGATGGACAATGCGACATCCCGCATTTGGATGAGGGGATGACATACACCCAGATTTCTGCAGGCTGTGATCATCTAGATCATCCAGTGCTTCTGAGGAGTGATGGGAGTGCAGTTGCCATTGGTCGCAATAGGTTTGGACACAACATCCCAGCTTTGGATAAGGGGATGACATACACCCAGATTTCTGCAGGCGGTGCTCATACAGTGCTTCTGCACAGTAATGGCAGCGTTGTTGCATTGGAGACAATAGTTTTGGACAATGCAACATCCCACCTTTGCCTGCGGGCATGACATACACCCACATTGCTGCAGGCTTTATTCATACAGTGCTTCTCAGGAGTGATGGGAGTGTTGTTGCCATCGGAGGAATTAGAAGTGCACACTGCAACATTCCGTTGCCGGAGCCAGGAATTCGCTACATTGGTGACACAACACGTGGTAGAGATTTAGTTTTACAAGTAGAGCTTGTGTACGAAGAAGATACAGTCAAGCTGATATGCTCGACTGCAGGTGGAGAAGAACGCTGCCGTTTGATCGCACAGAGCGAGGCACAAACGCATGGCTCGTGAATTGAACCCTGGGTTTGTTGAGGGTAATTTTCGTCTATTTTCACAATGGTTAATCCACCATTCCGGGAATCTGTTTGACTTGGGATATGTTTTACTTTTTTTGGTCCTCTTTTTTCTTGGCAAATCCAAGGAATGTGAACCTTCAAAACCTCCACCTCATTTTGCCAGATGCACAGTTGTTGGCCAAAGTCTGCCGTACAAATCCAGGAGCCTCAGTTGCTCAAGTGACTCGGATGACTCAAGCGACAGCGAGTCACATCTCTGAGCACCATGCCCTAGATTTGACCCACATGGTCTCCTTGGCTGCAACCTGAGCCAACCTCGGCAGATGTGTTGCAGGTGGGTGTGGTAGCTTCCTTTTCGAATCCTCGTCTAGGTCCGATCGCGGCGCTGGAAAAAAACACATAGATGTGTGTCAGGATTGGTATATTTCCACATTCCGTACATATCCTTCTTAAAACATCTTAAAACTAACAATATAGATATGTGCAACCCCACTATGTCATTATTTGATACCATTTGTAGATAACTGTCCAAGGTAAAAAAAGAACATTGTTTTTTGCTCTTTTCTTTTGGCCACAGGATTGGTGACAAAGTGGCAGGACCACAGTCTGCATGCTAAAGGACATAGCCTGGAGTAAATCAACACGAGATATGGAAAGCCAATGGTGAAACCCCTAAGGACAAGCTCTGCAAATGCTGGGGTTTTCATATCTATGGACTGTTTGTCTTTGTTTTGATTTACTGGAGGATACATATAATAGATTAATAGGATTTTTGCCATCTATCCATCTATCAACTGATAAATCATGGGATAAACATGGATAAACCATACAAAGTGGATTATCAACCATCTATGGTGATACGATTCCGAGTTAGTGCCATTACTTTCTCATCCCATACGACCTTTGGGCGACCCAGCACGGCCCAACGAGTTCTTCCTTTTTCATTGTGCAGCTACAAAGGTGGGACAATGGGTCATTTTACCACGTTTTACCACGTTTGACCATGTTTTTACCATGTTTTACCCCTTAGCAGCCTTAGGCACTTTCTGAGATATGCCTCAACAATGATTTTATTTACCTCAAGTGTTGTAAGCTGTCTACCAATTTGGGTAGATTAACTTCCCTGTACAATTGGATCGGATCGACAACTATATATTCCACCAACATAGTTCATTGAGATACCATATGTCATGTACAGTACCAGTATATGATCGGGTAACATACATATGACCCAAAGTAGTACCACAAATGATCCACCATGGGTGGTACCCATTGGTTGCCCCCCAAAGTTTCAGACAATTCCAAATTTTGATTTCTGATAATCTTCAATCATATGGTAAAGCCAATAATAAACCCTCCCCAAATTGCCAAAGTCACCGTTCTTATGTTATAAACAATCCTCAAATGGTAGGTCAACTAAATCAGATACGTCCATATAATTGATTGTTGACTCCCATGTAAAGGGGTTATTATAATTGCACGTAGTTGTATATGTAATTCTCTATGGGTTAAAAACTCTATAGTTGTGAAAAATGGCAATATAAGACACTATAGATTAATAATCATCTATGGCTTAAGATCTAAAGGTATAATTGAAGATTATTGTTGAATATTGTTGATTAACCATTGTTAACCGTAATTGAACCATTATGAACCATTCATGAACCAACAGTTCTTGTATCAAGCATTATGAACCATAATTATCCATGGGAATTCCAGGATCCTAAAATTAAAATGGAGGTACTGTACCATATAAGGCCATATGTTGGGGGTATATCCCCTTACGTAGCCCTGAAAAATAGGCCTTATATATGGTAGGTACCTCCAATTTAGGTTCCTGAAATGGCCATTGAACTATTTAATAAATATAACTATCAAGTTGGTTAGTTATACAACAAATCCCATTCTTAACCCTATAAAAAATACCATTAAACGCCATCAAACCCAATAAATTCTTTATTTCATCGTCAACCAACCGGTGATCGCACTGCGCCACTGCTTCAGGCGGACGTCGAGCCAGGTGCTTTCCGGCGCTGAAGAGTGGGCGACGAAGAAATGCTTGGCTGATTCCCAGGAAAACATGTGGTTTGTGATGGATATATCATATATATATATACCGATATACCTGCGGTTTTATGGGTTTTATCATAATCAACTTATCTTGGATTTGCGTGAGAACCTTGGCTTTTTGCAACTTTCCCAGAAATGGGGAAAAAGGTTCGGATGTGTTTTAAAGAATCAGTAAAGTACATATTTTGCCTCATCTGCGTATGGAATTAGGCGCCACATGAAATTGAGCATCTAATGATATGTTATGTGTAAATGGGGTTTCCTAAAATGGGGGTACCCCAAAATCATCGATCTTCATAGGAATTTTCATTGTAAACCAACCATTTTGGCGTACCCCCATGGCAGGAATTAAACCAATATAATTCATTAACATTCCATTAACCGTTGGAAAATATACTTTGGACTGGATCATCATCGGTCACATCCAGTTTGCAGCCAGTTTTGTCATCACGCAGAAGACATGAGAAGACCCTGTTAGCAGAGATTTTTTGGATAACCACCATGTATTATGTATCATGATATGTGTATGGCAAAGGCATAAATGGTGTGATATGGTGCGATGTGTTTGTTTTTTATCGTTCAATTTACACTTCAGTACTTGAAGATACACGTATCGCTCAATATTTACCATATGATATGAGGCAATGTTTGGAGAACCCCACAAGACTACTATATGGTTATAGCATGTTATGCCCCAAGTGCGAATAGGATATATCTCAGCTATCATACGTGGGTTGTTATCAGACCTTGAAACTTGAGGTCAGTTTCATGACATTTCCGGTCGGGCCCCTGTTTCCGCTGGCCAACTTGCTGCGTTTATTAAGATTTAAAAAACAGTGGCAATTATGGAAACGACGGGAAACTATACCTACATGATGGTTGCTAATTAAACTAGATATTAAAATATACAAATACAAATAATTAGCCCAAGTATATCACCCAACTAAGTATATAGCTCCGCTTATAAACCAATGCGACAGGTCCCCGCGGTCGCCGAGCCGCCGCCGAAGCCCACGCCGAGGTTGTAACGGGAGACATAGCCATAAAATGCCACAAAACATAGGGAACATGATGTTTTTCACCATTAAACAAAATATAACAAAATCATAGGGAGAATGATGAGGACAACCAGAGTAACCCTTGGATCCCTTGGGTTTGGGTTTTTCCCCCCTAGATTTTCAGAGAAAACCAGATGTGAAAAGCTATGGCTATGTATCCCGTCCCGTTCGGAGTCAACATTCGTCTTGAGGATTCCATGGATCAAGGTTTAGATTGGTCAATGACTGGTACCAGACATGGTAAACGTTAACAAAACACGAACTGGAAAATCACCATGCTATTAATGGGTAAATCAGCTATTTCTATGGCCAACTAACAGTTTGAGAACTGGAAAATCACCATGCTATTAATGGGTAAATCAACTATTTCTATGGCCATTTTCAATAGCAAACTGTAAACGTTTACCAGAGGCTAACTCAATAAGCTTACCGTATTGGCCAGGAGTCCATTTGGCGGGTCAAAAAGTCAACAGCCGCACCCAATTTTGGGGTCTTAGATTTGGATCCCTAGCCAGATATTACTTACCGATGAATCATCCTTTATAGCAGCTATAATTAGTCAGTTTTATAGCCATCTAACCATAAATATATATATATATATATCAATGTTTGCAGAAACATCCTACCATCCATGACCATTTACTATTCGACTCATCATATGCATCACTTACAGTACCATTACCTTTATATATTAAAATTATCATGTATTCCCTTTCATGCATATACTAGTACTAAACCACTGACATGTTATTTCCAGTTAAACAACTACCACTGTGCTAGTTAAATCATAGCACAGGTATTTTGAATTTACGTTGTGCTGTTACATGCAATTCTTCGCCCAAAATACTCCTATCAAAATCCCAAATCATATTGACTACCATTCGAAATAGCATCAAAAATTAATCCATCAACATCACCAAAAGATTATGATCATCTATTAAAAATCAGATTATCCACTCAATATACCTGATTTTAATAGATTGATCATAATCAGTTGTAATTAATATAGATTAATAGATTAAAATCATAATCATTAATTATTAACTGTATAATTATCTCTTAATCATAATCATTAGGTATTAATCATAATCTATTATCATATATTAACTGTATTAGTCAGATTATCCACTCAATATGACTAGTTCTTTCCAGGTCTTCTTTACCTTTCTTTTCTTTGGCGCTGTCGCTCTCCAGGCACCTCGCGACGGAGAGCGGACGCATCGCCGCGCGAAGCCTCCGAGGCGACAAGTTCTTTAAAGGGATGAATTTATAATATATGGGATCACTTTTATAGGGATTATTGGTTGATCAACCATATAAGATAAGCTATCTAAAAATGTTGAGTAAGTAAGTTATAACAGCACATCCTTGCCATTTTCTTAAAATCTATTTAATGCGGGATTCTTGTTCGATACGGCTTACATTATGATGATGCATGATATTATTCCATCAGTTTTTAATGTGGGGTTGTCTGAAAATACGGTCCCCAAAAAAACGGTCCCAAAAAATTGATGGTTTATCATTTTATCTCCATTTTCTCCATCAAAATAGCCATTTGGAGGTACACCCCATTTTCAGACACTACCGTGCAGATTTTACAAGTTGACTAGTCACACAGCTTTTATATCCCAATTTATAGTTGATGTTCTTACTATATCATTCTCTATGACTCTATGTATACATATATATATATAATAAGATGTAGTAAGCCAAGCTAAATCCCAGATATTCACCTGAAACTGAAGGCCTTTGCGCATTGAGGCATGGACCCGGCCACAGAAGTTGCCATCAAGTGGCCAGACATTGCCGCAGGGCTCGACCAGAGAAATCTCTTGCCGATCTCCCGAAAGCCTCGTGGATATGACACAGGAGACCAGCCGCAAAGGTTTTTGCGACACCGGAGATGTCGAAGTTGAATGCTTTTGGATACCTGGTAATTTCACCATGCCTTGGTGAATCATCCAACATGGGCTAGTTGGTGGTTTGGAACATATTTTTTCCATATATTGGGAATTTCACAATCCCAACTGATGAACTTATATTTTTCAGAGGGGTAGGTATACCACCAACCAGCATAAAGTTCACCAGTGAGGATGTTAGCGAATCCCATGCTATGATGGGAAAGCGACGTAATTTGACAAAAACAGGAGGGTTACCGCCATCACCGGCTCACCTTTTCTGCGGTATATGCTTCACAGGAGGCAATTATGGTCAATAATGATTATCGCCTGTTCTTGACCATGAATGTAGAATATGACTATCATAGCCTATTATTATTGACTATATTATAATGGTTATAGCCTATTATGGTCAATTATGACTATTGTTATGGCTAAACATTGTTATAAATCCAATCCAATCCTGTGGATATGCAGAATCCTGCACCAGTTGGTAAACAGTTTATCCCATTACTATCCCATTCTTTACCCAGTAATTACACGTAATTACTTTCCCATTGGCAGGAATCCATGTAAATGGTTACTATCACAACTGGTAGGAAACCCATATAATATCATATTGAATGATAATCATAGTCATGATTTAGACCATGCAAATAGTATTATGGGCTAAATCTATCATATAATATCATGACCATAATTGATTTAGCCCATTATCATAATCATCAATGATTAATCAGAGTTATGTCAAATATGTTTGGAGAATAACCCCATTTCTGTTTCTTGTTTTATATCGCCCATGATATAACTATAGTATACTAGATTATAATGGTTACTATAATACACATATCTTATGGGCTAAGATTGCTATATCATGTGGTTATACATTCAATAACTAACCATATCATAACCAGATCATATTTAGCCCACTACTAAACGCTCTCCCTGCAGAATGGCCACCGACGCCACCGCGGCTCGGCAAAGATGAGAAACCCGTGGATTTTGACGAAAAAATTGGGATTTTGGTGGGATTGTCCCACAAAAGCACTTTTTTTCAGAGCGCATGTTTACTTCCAAAGTTGTAAGTTCGGTTCTATTGAAGTTTGTAGAGATCGCGTTTGTGAAAATCCTGCGACGCCACAAAAAAGAGCCCTAGAATGAGAGATGGTTTGGGACCAACCCTAGTAATGTCAAGATGGTGGGTAAACCGATGTGAAACAGTTAAAATTATATAAAGATAATGCCAGTGCTTATGTGAATTGCGGTCTGTGATAGCCATGTGAAACCGACAGTATGGGTTTGACCCAACTACTATAGGGAAACAAGCGAACACCCAACATTCTGCTCCCATCCCTGTTGAGTGGGTCGTGGAGTTAACATGTTTTTTGGTCAGTTATCACCAAAAATCACCCATATACCCAGTTGACCCATCAAGAGGATTATATAAATTTGATTGAATCGCATTTTTCTGCGGGTCAAATCCCCATTTTTGTTGGTGAACTGTCCATTTATGTGGCTAAAATTCTCTTGACCATTTTTTGTGTTACCTGACCCCCGAAAAGGTGATGCATTGAACTGTTTGGGTTTAGCATGCTTTAGCTCATGTCGCTCTTGAGCATGTGACCATTGGCCCAATAAACTCTGGTGAAGCATGGTGAGTAGATGTAGGGAATGATGCTATTTATATAATTGGTTGTGTGGGACATAGATGTCCTTTTCCCATTGGTTGGTTGATTAATAGAGGTGTTTGAAGAAATCCCTTTGACAAGAAGAAAATGATGATAGATGAGATTAACCAGCTCCCGGCCCAAACCTATTTTTACCAAAAGGACATCATTATTGGTGTGGGAGTTGTGAGCATTCCGTTGTGAGAATCTCTGTCAACCACCAGGTACATCACACTTTGCATCACATCAAACATTATCGCCCTTGAGACAACTCGCGCTTGGTGAGCTCCAAAAGAAGTGTCCGCATGTGGCTTTGATTCCGAGAAAAGGAAAACTGTGGCATATTCCAACTTTGCCCAATAACATTTGAAATGAATATTATAATATTTATAATATATCATTTATACGATTTATATAGTGATGTTTTGTCACCATGTCAAGGCCAATGTGAAACAGCTAAAATTTCGTGTATCCACTGGCAATCATCCCATTGGGATTCCGACCCAGTCATTTCCATCGGTTTCCTCTACTTGGGGGTGACCATGGCATTCGTTAAAAACCACAAGACGAAGATGTGGGTCAAACAATACCATAAATAAACCACTGGGAAATGGTATAATATAATGGTATATCACGAGGGATGACAATGTGTTTTTTATACGGTAAAACAATGTCAAAACCACTGTCACTATACCACCATATACCACCTACATATTTATGATGACATGTGGGGATGGTGCAAATGACATAACTTTTACCTGGAGCCTGAGGCCGTCGTATTCGCAAGGCGGGGGACGACTCCTATGGGTACCCCCTTGGTTAACGTGAATCCATGGTTTCCATCCAGGATACTTGGAAACTGAATCCATGTTATTTGAGTCAACTGACTGGTGAATGGTGTAGTAATTGAGCTGAATGTGGTATGAACATGTACATCCGCGATTTTACCAGAAATGGATAGAAATTGTGGTGGATTGAGGCAGATTTGAAGATTCTTGCCAATGAGCTTTTTGAATCATTTCGTCCAAGTCTCATGTTTCTTCTTATAATGTTTGTCATTGTCCAATTCTGGGCTTAGATCCCTTGAATTTTCGTAAAATGATCCGATTGGAACAGGACAGAGGTCATCGTTCCGGGACTGTTTTTTGCTGTGGAAAAGCCATGGGGAAGGGATGGGCAGGATCACATACACATGGAAAATTTTGTATATATTGTATCTGATTATATATACATACATATTAAATATGATTATTATCATTGTTATATTATTATTTAATATTATTTTACTATATATATATATTATAAATTATATGTGTATATATAATGATGCATGTTTGAATTATGTGTATATATAAATATCATGTGAATACTGTTAGTTATAGTTATATCCCATATATACAATATCCCTACTGTTGTTGAATTATATCTCCATTTTCCCTGTTGTATCCCATGCTCATAATTTGGTGATCCCAGCAATCTTGTTGGTCAAACTCTGCATGACATCCTCGTATAATAATATGCCGCATTACATATATATATATATACCACATTATCCCACAAATCTGGGAATGTACCATGAAATATTATAAATGCCATGAAGTTTCCAGGAATCTTCTAGGAATGCCCCAGGAATCCCAGAAATTTTAACCATTATTGCAGACTACTAACCATTAAACACCATTATTAACCATTTCTTACCAACACTTAACCATTATTACCAAAATTTAACCTTTACTTACCAATATTTAACCTTTACTTACCAAACTATAACCATTACTTACCAATATTTAACCATTACTTACCATTATTTAACCATTGCTAGCCGTTATTTAACCATTATTTAACCATTACCAACCATTATTTAACCATTATTTAACCAATGCTAACCATTACAAACCATTATTTCACCATTACTAACCATTATTTCACCATTACAAACCATGACTAATCATTACCAACCATTGTTTAACCATGACTAACCATTATTTAACCACTATTTAACCATTATTTAACCATTATTTAACCATTGCTATCCATTACTAACCATTACTAACCATTATTTAGCCATGACTAACCATTATTTAAAAATGATTTCACCATTACTAACCATTACCAACCATTGCTAACCATGACTAACCATTACTAACCATTATTTAACCATGACTAACCATTACTAATCATTATTTAACCATTATTTGACCATTACTGACCATTACTAACCATTATTTATCCATTACTAACCATGACTAACCATTACTAACCATTATTTAACCATTGCTAACCATTTCTAACCATTATTTAACCATTACTAACCATCACCAACCATTACTAACCACCAATAACCATTACTTAACCATGACTAATTTTATCCATTACTAACCATTTCAAACCATCATTTAGCCATTACTAACCATTTTAACCATTATTTAACCATTACCAACCATTATTTAAACATGACTAACAATTATTTAACCATTATTTGACTATTGCTAACCATTACTAACCATTATCTATCCATTACCAACCATTTCTAACCATTATTTAACCATTACTGACCATTTCTAACCATTATTTAACCACTACTAACCATTGCTAACCATGACTAACCATTACTAACCATTATTTAACCATTACTAACCATTATTTAACCATTACTAACCATTATTAATCACCCTTATTAACGACTTCTCAAATGGTGCGTCTTCTCATGTTCCATGCTCCGCACACGCGGCGGTTCGCCGCGAAACTGTCAGATGACTCCCAGCCCAAGCGATGCGAAGCCGGGACGGAGGAGGGCGCGGATTTTTTGTTTTCGACTGGAGCAATGTGGTGATTGCACCAACAATGGAATTACCCTCTGGTTATGACTAACATAGCCATGGAAAATCACCATGTTTAATAGGTAAACCATCTATCTCTATAGGCCATTTTCCATGGCTATGTTAAATAACCAGAGGGTATATAGTTTCTAGGAATTGTTGGTGATTCTATGCATGAAATGGGATGTGAGTGGAATTATATATATTTCCCATACCATGTGGCTACAATCATCATTTCACCATATTTCACCAATACTTAATGGGATGAGCAATGGAATTATATAGCTTCTAATGGTGATTCATAGTGATTATTATCAATGATAGTTGGATGATTAATGGAACGGTGATAAATCTGGGTAAATTGGAACGACCTCACTGCGACCTCACTAGATTCATAGTTAGTATAGGGGAATTATCCTCATTGTGAGCCTTATTTCATGTCAGTGAGTTATTATGCTTTAACCAGAAACATGGGAGGTACGGTCAAAACTCTGGTATACTACTTATGTAAAGGAAGGTTCTCTTGTATCTAGAAAGTGCACCAAACACTGTGTAGCGATAGGGCCTCCCCCAAAAGCGATAATTGTGCATAATGTCCACATCTGAAGTTGTTTTGTACAAAGTGGCGTACATGTAAGAGGCGAAATTAGCGACACCTCTAGCGATACCTTAGCGGTACCCATCTGTTCAAAAAGTAACCCCAGACCACAAATAGACACTCCTCTTCATTTCCTTTCTTTTCCTTTTCCTTTCCCTTTCTCTTCCTTTTCTTTTCCTTTTCTGTTCCTTTTCTGTGCCTCTTCCTTTCATCTTTACAAAATGGATGGCAAAAACGGGCCCGCACAAGCGATGGCCGCGATGGAACAAAAACGGCCGGGGCCTGAGGATTTCACCGATCAACACTTGGCGAAGCGGCCCGCAGCGCCGAAGCGTCGGAATGGAAACAGCAACAGATTGGCCGAACTTTGGTGTGATATATACTGTGTAATATTTAGATAGATATTTAGATAGATATTTAATTAGTGATTTACCAATAACAGATTGATATTTAGTATATACTAAAAAGTAAAATGCACACCATAATATTGATATACTATCGATATTAGCCGAACTGCAAAGCAATATATACATATATATATATATTTATTGATATTTTAGTCAAAGTTTTTTGGATGATTAGCCGAACTAACTTTGGGTGATATATACTTCTTGATGGCCGTTGATCCCCTTTGGTTCAAAAAGGGAACAGCCTTTGTTAAAAAGCGAAATCCACATGTAGAAATTCAGTGGTAATGGTCCCCGTTGATCGTAAACTTCCAATGGTAACATTAACACAGTTTCATGTTTGTCACACTAAACCCCATTGGAAAGGGACAACCTTAATTTGTTTGGTAGATTTTTTTGCCAGTGTTTGGGAAACATCAAGTCTTTTTCACTCTTTGATATCCAATGTTTTGCATTGTCCTGAATTCCTGAAGGTGATTTTTGGTTTTCCGCTGGTTCTAGTGGAATCTACTGAACATGTTTTATGTGTATTGCCCCCAAATCAGCAAATTCCGATTGTTTTGCCAGATTTTTGTTCCGGAAGTGGATTTGAAAGGATTTGTTTAGGTTTTGCAGACTTCAGCATCCAAACATCTGGGTATGGGTGTGACTGAAAATGGGTTATACCTCCTTGATGGTTGTTTTAATAGGAAACATGTTCATTAACGATCACATTTAGGGGTATCCTATTTTTAGACAAACCCATCTCTGGTTGGGGGTTTGAAACATTTTTTATTTGTCTATATTTTGGGAATAATCATCCCAACTGACTAACATTTTTCAGAGGGGTTGAAACCACCCCATCTTGTATAATGAACACACATTGGAATGCTGAAAAAAATCTGGAAAATCAGCATCCAATCATTGGATCCACTGCAACCTTGCAGGAGCCCTAGAAGCTCACCGCCAGCAACGAGGTGGTTGGGGAATGTTGGGATGTATGGGATATGGTCTGTGGAACATATATATATATACACTATTATACAATGTATATATATATATATATGTACATTGTGGGATAAGTGGATATATACCTAATCTTCTCAATATTTCTTGATCTAGTCTCAATATTTGGGATGTATTATTGATATTTGAATATATATATATATATAGATATCAGGAATCTAACGTGGTTTGTGGTTTCACTTTTGGACATGGTCACTTTTGAAGGGAACTGATGAAACATCACTGGTTGGAGGTACCCTCTGGTGAACGTTAACAAAAAACTATGGAACATCACCATGCTATCAATGGGTAAATCCCCTATTTCTATGGCCATGTTCAATAACTATTTAACAAAATTACCAGAGGGTATATCCCATTAATATCCCATTAATATCCCATTAAACCACTATAAAATCCCATTAAACCACTATCAAATTTCCAGAGGGTTTCCCACAACCTGATCACGATCAGGTCACGAGAAATGATGAGATTTTTTTAATTTTGGAAACGACGTTACGCGAAACGACAAGCCCACATTTCAAGTTGTTGCAATGTATTGTAATTTACCTAGGTATACTTGGAATGCCGAAAAAATTGGGGGACCAACCAGTTCTGAAAGCTAAAACCCCCTTTATCCATAGGATGTGTTTGAAAATGATTTATACCCCCATAGCACTTGTAATAGGATATGATGAGATTGACGTCCAAATTTGTGTGAAAAGCTCATGAATTTCAACGGAAATGTAGAATCCAGAAGTGAAAGGTTCCAAGTTCCACATGAGTTTTTGCTTTCGCGAAAAACACAAAAGTGCCCGCATAGGCAGGACGGAAGCCCAAGCGTAAAAAAATCCTGATGACGCAAAGCAGAGATTTTGAGCGCCGCTCACGTGCACTAGAAATTCAAGACCGCGCAAACGGAAAATGTATGTAAATTGCTATGATTCATGGTTTTATGTTGGGCCGATCCTGATTCAGTCAAATCTGCGGTTTTGATTGTCTTGCTTCAGAAGCCTTGTAATCTCAAAATATGTTTTTTTACTATTGGGTTCATCAGTTCATCCGTGATGTTCTGAGTGTTCTGAGGGCCTCCCCTTTTGAACAAAACGTGAGGACGCACCGAAGTCCGTCCTCAACCGAAAGGACGGGCAGTGGGGCAGTGTGAGACGGGGATGTCACCGTGGTTTTCTCTTGAAATTGGAGATACCCTCTGGTAATTTAACATAGCTATTGAAAATTGCCATTTATAGTGGATTTTCCCATGAAAAATGGTGATTTTCCATAGTTATGTTAGTTTACCAGAGGATGATTGGAGAATCTGAGATGCTGAAAGTTGCTGCTTCATTTTTTTCGCACATGACGAAGCACGACAAGCAGATTTCGGGGCGGAGGTAAGTGTAATAATTGAAGCCGAGGAGCCATGATATGCCATACTCCAACAAGGTGGTACAATCTGCATATTTCTTAGTGAAATCAAGATTTTCATATGGTTTTCCCAGGTGAAAACACCATGTTCCCATGTTTTTCCCATGGTTTTCCTGTGGTTTCCCCTCGGAAATCCAACTAGTTGAGAGTGTTTGGCAAACCAAACAGAACCTTCGGGACCACCAGCCTCTAGAAAGCGATACCGTGTATCTTGGTGGGATCACCCCCATACCGTGCTATGCCATCACGCTATGATGGTTTATTCATGGGCATATATATATATAATTATATATATGGGTATATAAATGTATAAATATATTGAACATTGTAAGATGTGATATATCATCACCTTGAAAATCATAGCGCACCATGAAGTTTGCTTTCTGCAAACAGTATCGTTATCAACATACCCAGATCATCGACCTTTCGAATTGTAACCCGTCTAGTTATCCTTAAAACAAAACAAAACAACTACATGGACATTGAAACGTAGAAACGGTGTCCTGTTGCAACAATCTCAATATCATATAATCTTTGTAACAATCCCAAAATTACAGTTATCCCCATATATCCAAATGGGAAACATCCCCAAAAAGAATATAATAGCCCCATGGTAGTAGATATATTATCTATAGCACATATATAGTCACCATATTACAATGTTGTGACCATTAGGAAGCATATATTATCATGATTTATCATGCTAATAATCCCACAATGTGCCCCCCATAAACACCATTAACTATAGTTATGATTGCCATAAACCATATTTTTTGCAAATTATAAACCAACGCTATCATCTTAAGCAGCTATAAATCCCATGAAAAATTGCCACGGTTTCTAGTTTTTCTATGGTTTTTCTATGGTTTTCCTATGGTTTACCTTGGTGAAATCAGCATCTTCCCATGGTCTCCCCATGGTTTCCCCATGTCCATCACGACCTCGCCATTTTCCGCGCCAGACGTCGCCTGGAAGCGCCGGGGGCGGTCAAGAGCGCCTCCCCGGTGCCGTTGGCCACGCTGCCGAAGGCCAAGGTGCGACGTTGCCGGTTGGGGAAATATCTATGGAGGTTTCCAGAAATCAGAGGGGTAGGTATACCACCAACCAGCTATGGAGGTTGGGAATTTCATATTTTTCAGAGGGGTAGGGCTCAACCACCAACCAGTACTGATAAAGGGAGGTTTCCACAAATGGATGGTTTATGTCATGGAAATTCCGAAATTCGTATTGAAGTGGATGATATGGATGATATGGATTATATGAATGATATGGATGATATGGATGATATGGATGATATGGATGATGACTGGGGGCACCCCCATTTATGGAAACCTTCATATGGGGGTGGGTCTTAAAATCTACTATTATCAATTTTAGTGGGATGAACTGGATGAAAACCGTTTTGTTTTATTCTGGTAAAACAATGCCATTTGCACCATCCCCCAGTCATCACCATTTTTATAGGTGGTATGGTTACCAAACATCGAGACGAGGCCCTGTTTCTTTTTGGCGCCCAACGGAGTCAGCAACCATCCTAGTTTCAAAGAGTTTGATTTCGTAGTTTTGTTATTTCTTTTCATCTGGAAACATCAACTTAAGTTGCCTTGTTCCTTCAAATCTTCAATCTCAGAGTTGGTCTGACGGTAAGATTTACCGGAAACACTCAAACTCATCGTGCAATACTGGTAATTTGTAGCTTGTCCCAAGACAAAATATGTTTTATTGGTTAACAAGAACCCCACTTCACTATTGTTGTTCAAATCCACATGTTTGATAATTGTAGTTCGTGGAGATTCATTCTCTGATAGTTGTAGTTTGGTCAATTCCTAATTTTGAGTTGATGAAATTTAAACGTGTGTTTGATGGTCGAATCACAAAGCAAACAATAGAATGAACAAGAATTGATGGTAAAGTCCAGTCAAGGAGCAGGGTTTACATCGCAATGAACCACGATTGAAACGGTGAAACCAATTTCTTTTTAGCACAGCGATTCGCCACCATTCCATGTGGGTCGTTTCGTCACCTTAAATCACTCTGGGAATCTCTGGGATAAAACGAAACGACCCAAAATCCACGTGGCAGGCGGCTCCGAGGCGGGCGGCTCCGTGGGGAGTGGCTCTCGCCACTGGCGATTCCAAAATGCTGTGGGGAGTGGCTTTGCTCTCAAAATGTACTGATTGATCCATCGCCAATCTTGGTAAACCATGGTAAACCCATGTACCCAGATAGTAAACCCAACAATAGACTTTCAATAGACTCTCAATAGACCATCTCCAAGTATGCAGCGCATGACAGATGAATGAATTCTGGATCTTCTGAATCTCTAGCATGATGGAGGGAAAAAGCCTTGATCTTTACCAAGCAGTGGGGCAGATGACGGGAGGACGTTGCAAAGCCAATTCATCCAGATGTCTGGAGGTTGATTCAGGTTGACCATCCTAAAATTGACAACATCGACATGGATTTGTCGCAACATGGGCTACAGAAAGAGTGATGTTTTATGACATCGGCTTACATAGCCGTTTTGAGGGGCTATGTAATATGTATATGTTTGTGGGTTGCATTTTTTTAAAATCCAACCACGACTTTGGACATAGACTAACCAACTCTTTTTTTGTGTTCGATAGAAAAGTATCTAGAATATGAACCATAAGAAATGATGATTTGTATATTAAATATGGATATTAAACTAATATGGATATTTATCATGGATATTAAGAATATTTTGGTTAATTAATATTATGATTAGAATCCCAATTAAACTAACATGGATATCTAATCTAAACCAGCGACTTTCGCAACGGAAGGAAAAAAACCCTGTCGCCGAGGTGTGCCGATTTCGCCAGTAACACGTTTCGTTTGCACCGGCCGTATGTTGGCATTTCCTTATAAAAGGTGCCAGGATACCTAGGATTTTTTTTGAACATGGCGAAAATACAACATCTAATATAACTAGAGTGTTTTTCAAGCAAAAATCAGGATTTTGCAAAAAAAAATATCTAGAGTGATATTGTACATGTCATCCTACCTCAGACTTCAAGAATATTTTTCAGTGGCACCATAATTTTAGCTATAGCAACTAGGGTTGTTAAAAACTATACAATTTGTTTTTGTTTTGCAAGGCCATTGCAATCATTTGAGGTATTAAAATTGCCTTAAATTAGATATTATAGGGAATTGTACTGGGCCATTCGGGATTCTGAATCATGAACTAACTCATAGTAGGGAAAGCTATCACCGTGGGACCTCTATAGTCAAACGGTTTGACCGTCAGCAGCATCGGAAATCCAGCTGACAAAAGTCGCAAGAATAAGCTTGAATTTTTGATCAATGGATTGGTTTACGGGAAAATTTACAGGAAAACCCCATATTTAATGGTAAAAACTATGGTTTCCTGTAAAATTTCCAAAGAAAACCAATCCATTGATTTGAACCAATCCGTTGATTTCAGCAGAATTTTCGGGTGTTTTTTTGGAGGACCAAACAATTCGGCTCAAATGATGGGAAGCTGGTGGTTTTAGTCAGCAAATGTACAACACTATGACATCAGTGTGGTTGTAAAGTCAATGGCACAAGCACATTCCGTTTGTTCATCTATTTTCTGTAGACCATTCAATTTCGGGGAGCCAAGGGTCATTCGTACGACACTACATTGCTGTATGCTGATCACCATGACGGTACTCTGAAATCAAATTAGCCTTGATTCGATCAATGGTTTCTGCAGGCTTTGGTCATACAGTGCTTCTGCGCGGTGATGGCTGTGCAGTTGTCCCCTCATCCAAAGCAGGGATGTTGCATTGTCCCGATGAATTACATCCGATGGCAACAACACTGCCATCACTGCGGAGAAGCACTGTAGTACGACGGCTGCCTGCTGCTGGTTATGGTCATCGGAGCAAATGGATGTGGACAATGCAACATTCCATTGCCGGAGCCAGGAGAAAAGTTGGTGTGACTTTTTGGGCATGTTGGCGTGCGGAGTTCCATGGGGGAGAACATCCCGGTACCAAAGTTGGTGACACAACACGTGATAGAGATTTAGTTTTTCAATTAGAGCTTCTTTGCGAAGAAGACACAGTCACGCTGATGGGCTCTACTGTAGGCGGAGAAGAACGCTGCCGTTTGATCGCCCAGGGCAATGATTCTGCGTGGGAGACTCACAAACGCATCGCTCGTGAATTGAACCCTGGGTTTGTTGAGGGTAATTTTCATCTATTTTCACAACAGTTAATCCACCATTCCGGGAATCCGTTTGACTTGGGCTATGTTTTACTTTTTTTGGACTTTTTTTTGCAAATCCAAGGAATGTGAATCTTCAAAATCTCCACCTTATTTTGCCAGATGCACAGTTGTTGGCCAAAGTCTGCCGTACAAATCCAGGAGCCTCAGTTGCTCAAGTGACTCAACTGACTCAAGCGACTGAAGTGACTCCATGCCGTACAAAGCGACGGCGAGTCAGTCCCTGAGCACCGCATGGAAAGAAATAGAATTTGTATAGATGCGCATATATATCTATATACATATATATATATATAATACCTAACAAAAGTATTTACATGAACATTCCATACATATTCTTCTTAAAACTAATAATATAGATATGTACAAGCTCCAGTATTTGTAAATCAATGCCGTAAAACCATTGTAAAACCCATGTTTTTTGTTGTGTGTTTTGGCCACATACTGGTGCCCGGGGATGATCGGACCGCAGGTGATACGGAAAGCTAATGGTGAAGGCCTGACTCCAGCCCAAAGAGATATCAGCAGAAATCCCCCACTCGACGACGGCTAAAATTGAGTTCTTCCAGCCTTTTTTTTAGGTAAATGTACAGCCACGAAAAAGGTGGGGAAAATGGATCACTGATTGGTGGTTTGGAATATCAATTTTATTTTCCATAATGTATGGGATGTCATCCTTCCCATTGACGAACTCCATCGTTTTTCAGAGGGGTAGGTATACCACCAACCAGATCATCATTAATCATCATGAATCACCAAAAAACTATGATTATGATCATTAAATCACCATTGTTAACCATTGAAATCACCACCCAGGTCACTTTTACCATGGCCGGTTGCCCCCCAAGAGTGTCTGGCCCAGACGGAGCAAACGCCCCTCCATGTTGCCTGAAGCCGATCGGATGGTTGAACTCACCATGGCTGAACCGATCGGCCAACTCACCGGAGTGCCAATGGTTGATATAACGGGAAAATATATTGGTAATATAACGTTTCTTACCCGTATATGATGTTATATCTCATTATGATATGTGTCCCATATTATATCATAACATATGATTATGGCTTTATAACATGATATGTGTCCCTTGTTATAAAGCCAATTAATATGGATATTAGCCCATAATTATATTAATGAACCCCCATTATATATATAGACAATATTTTATAAGTATAACCCACATATATCCCCATATTTCCCATATATTCCCATCCCATATATCTTCCATATGACAATGTCTGTTTCACCTCCCAAAAACAATCTTCCAGTCCTCCGCCGCAGGTCCACTGCCTCACCACAGGCGCAGGCTGAGGTCTGTGAAGTGTTCTAAAACCGCGGAGAAAACCATGGATTGACCGGGGAAAATGATGAACGTTAGAAAAGAAGAAATCGTTTGAGAACGTTTTAAACCAGCAAAAACGGTTTTGGTGATAATAGGGTTTAACACGGCTATATGTACTGTATATTATGAATCAACATATAGTTGTTTAAAACATCAAAATATGGGTTCGATACCTGAAAATGATGGTTGAACACCCCGAAATCCAGCAAGGTCAATCACAATTTTCCCTGTGAAATTGTGGTCAATTTGGGCGTTTTAAATTGTCGTATTTTTTTCGGACACACCCAACTGTTGTTTTTGACAAGAAAACATGTAGCATTCCAAGATTATTGATGTTCCGAAGAAAACGTGATTTTTTTCCTGAGAATCTTGACTTGAATTGTGAGTTGGGAGATACTAGATCGACCTGTGGTATTTGTGAATTTACAGCATGGAAAACATTGGGATTTAATCAGCCTGAAAAGGAAGTAGATCAACAACAACGCCATGGAAGCAGCAGATGGCGATGAAACGGATTCAACTGTCTAATGGCAGGTAAGAACGGGTGAGTTATTGATGTAAATAATCATGGTAGTATGGTAATAATGGTTATATAATGGCTTATAATGGTAATATGGTAATTATAATGGTTATATAATGGTAAATAATCATCTGGTTGGTGGTTTAGAACATGAATTTTCTTTTCCCCAATAGTTGGGATGATGATCCAATCTGACGAACTCATATTTTTCAGAGGGGTAGGCATACCACCAATTGGGACTATGATGTTTTTCCCAGGTGCTCTCCCAAAATGGACCAGACTAGTTTAATTTGTTACTGACATTTATCCAGACAAATGAAACCGGCTATTATATACAAAATTAGTGGGCATGCGCTGGCATCTAAGATTGGCCTGAGACTTCGGCACGCAGATATAACAAGATCTAAATTGTGAAATTTGCAGATTTATTTGTCCCTTTTTTGTTTGCAATCCCACCAGCCCCAAATGTCTTTAATACCCGCAGATTTCTGGGCATGAACAGATCCAATGATGCCTTGCACCATGTTTTCGTTTGCGGGATATTTCTTGGCGAAGCTCTCTCAGTAGCGGTCTGCCCAAATGGTTGCCGTGCAAAAACGCAGCTGTTGATTACCCTCTGGTAAACTAACATAGCTATGGAAAACCACCTGGTAAACGTTTACATAACTATGGAAATCACCATTTTTAATGGGTAAATCAACTATTTCTATGGCCATTTTCATGGCTCAATTTCTATTTTCGGTTGGTGGTTGTAGATGGATCAGGGTTTCCTCGCAATAAAAACCCAACACTAGGGCAGGGTCTCAGCGGATGGTTCCATTGTGGACTACGGTTCATCATTTCCCACTTAATCGACTACGGGTAGCTGGGTATCTTTTTATGTTTGCTTTAACAACCACATTGTATCATCTATAGCTGCTAGCTCATGATGTCTCACTTAAACTGGTGAGTTTCATTGGAACCTAGCTACCCCAAGCAACTCCCATCAAATAACATTTTTCATGTTCTTGGTGAAATCCCAGTATACCCCCCAAGTACTGGTAAACATCATGGTGTCAACCTCAACGTTGCCCTGTTTTGGTGCGAACAAAGTGGGGGCCCCAAACCATAGCCAAGTTGTTGAACACAATTTCAACATCTATGGTTTATTGATCTTTATTGTACTTCTAACATCTTCTAGCTATAGTATTCATGGAGTCAACCAACAAACACAACTGGATTTTCCCCCCAATCTCCAACCGTGTTTTCTCCTGCAGGATGGGGAACCGCCCAAGCGAAAGAAAAGGCGGATCCCGTCATCAACGGTTGGATTTTTCGTCCCAACGGTGGATTTTATAAAGTGGGCCTGGACATACCAAAAATCTTGCTGGAAAGTTAAACCACCTGAAAAAGCTGGATAAGTTTAATGGCTGGTTGGTGGTGACTGGAACATGAATGGATTATGCCTTTCCATTCAGTTGCGAAGAATCATCCCAACTGACTCATATTTTTCAGAGGGGTTGAAACCACCAACAATTCTATCTTTATCATCCATAACCATCTGGATAAAGATGATGAAGACTGTTCGATCTATGTGATGGATAAATGGATGATATTAATCAGTTATAACTTTATCAGTTAAGGATGATATTTGTTTTCGACAATACCTGGAGTAAATACTTTTCGCTCTTTATCTTGGGATGGCTATATCTGGGGAAATTCATAGAACACCTACTGATTTCTGCGAAATTCTATGTGATCTAGTTGCTCTAAATATATAGGTTTATATTTGTATATGATGGTGACAAAATCATCTATAAATGGGGACATAAATGGGTGTATAGCGATGACTGGGTAATTTTATCTCTCTTTAAATGACACGAATGGGATGGATGATGCCATCTATTGGGTGTCTATGGGATATCATGGTGATACATTTTGGAAATGATTGGAATACATGAGGATAAACTTGGGTAAACGAAAGTACACCAATCATCTCCGGTTTGCATGGTAAGGCCAATACAATGGTGACAACGGATCTACGTAGGGCTGATGAACTCTGGTGCCATGTGTCTAAACTATAACGACCAAACCCGTTCGCGATGTCACTGGAATGGTCGTAGAGTATGTGGAGTATGTGGGTGTTCAATTCTGTAGGTAACCATCTAGAAGTGAGAACTCTACATATTAGCAACGGGGTATGGTTACATGGACAGTTGGTATTTGTAGATTTGGGGATTGTGAGGTATGCGATCAACGTGAAACAACCAAAATGCCATCACTCAAGTGAAAACAAAAATAATAGGTGTCGGGAAATCGGGCCCCGAAAGTCATTTCGTGACATAACAGGGTATCACCCATCAGCACATGGGTGGTTTATCATTGTTTTACCCACATTAAATCTGGCCATTTGGGGTAAACCTGTAAAACATAGTAAACGTCCCATTGGCACCTCCAATTGTGGATGGCTTGACCGAAATCCCCACGCATTTCAAAGAGATTTGGGAGCTCATGAGGTCGAGTATAAGTCTCATTACAGTTTGAAATGTATTCCCATTTATAAATGAGCTTCCCTCATATCATATCCGAAACCACCCAGTTCACCCCATTAGTCCCATTATATCCCAAAATATCTTTACATTTTCCCATTATTGGTCATTACACCCACTGGTATCACATGTATCATCGAATCATCATGTATCCTTCAATAAACTAACGTAGGTATGGAAATCCGTGGTTTCTCTAAGAACATTGTCTACAAATGGTGTTTTCGCATAGCTACGTTAAATTACCAAAGGGTATCTCCCAACCTATAGATTAGATGAATTTCCCATTATCCATGATAGACCATATCTGGTTGGTGGTTTGGAACATTTTCTATTTTCCTATTTTTCCATATATTGGGAATTTCATAATCCCAACTGACGAACTCATATTTTTCAGAGGGGTAGGTATACCACCAACCAGATATAGACGACAATCTTAATCCTATATGGTTTGTATCCCCAAAATCTGCCAGTGAACTCCCATGATTTCCCCAGATAAATTCCCAAGGAATGTTGGTTAGATGTCCCTTGCCCACTATGATTGCAATATCAGATAGTTGGTCGTCATATCCAATCATAGTTCTGTTTGATCCACTAAAAATACCCTTATCCCACCAAATGAAATACTAGTTGGTTGATAGGTTTCCCATTCATATGGCTTAGTTCATAATTTCCAATAATCCAGGTAGTATAGCTCCTATTTCATACCAATCAGTAAGGATATTTTGTTCATGGTTGATTTTTTCCAAAAAAAAAGTTCCCGAGTTCACCCACAATGATGGCTAGTTTTCCCACATTTGTTTCTAATTGTCCAATAGTTGGTCATCACATCCAAGCATAATCCTATTTACTTTCTGGTAATGTAACGTAGCGAACTGGAAAATCACTAGTTGTAAGTTCGGAAAGAAATGATTGTATATCTATTTCTATGGGCCATTCTGGGCCATGCTCAATCCAAAAAAAAAGATGTACGCCTACTCATCAACTTAGCTGTTTTTTTCTGTCGCTTGATGAATTGTTGCTTCTAAATCACAGTGGCCGATAGAAATATGTTCTCTGTTCAGAAGGTTCAAAACTACACACCGATCATCCCAAAATCGGCCATGGACGCACCCCTTCCGCACGCTGCGGAGCTGGTTCGGGGCTACCTTCGGTTTTCCATCGGCAAGACGAGTGGAGCAGCCGCGGAGGGTATGGAGCAGCAGCACCGTTCAGCATGGCGGCAGCTGCCAAGAGGGCCAAGGAAGAGCCGCGCGCCACATGGCTCCCATAGCTATGTAAGAAATAACCAAAGGTGTATCACTATACTTGTTTGTTAGCTATTCCATGAATCACCATCATGAATCACAATTTTTTTCACCATAAATAATCCCGTTTGCTGGTTAAACGGTTAAACCATCATATTAAATTAATCACCATTAATCACCATTAATCACCATAAATCACCATTATCCATAGCAACAGTTGGTCATGATCGATCCGCCAAACTGCGATCCATGGGTCACACCAGGAGGAGAAAAGACAAGATCAACGACGAGGCCATGCGGCTGATGGATGGTGATGGATACAAAACGGGGAAAAATCTACTTGGAAACATGCTGGGATTTATGGGATTTAATTGGATTTGATGGGATTTAATTGGATATTAATTGATATTAATAGGATTTTAGAGTGATTTAATTGAGTTTAAATGTAATATACCGATATACCATCTGGTAATCAAACGTATTTGGCTGGAAAATGCCTGAACTAAATGGAGGTCTTTAGCTGGGAAAATCATCCATATGCATGAATGGGGGATTTTCCAGCAAACCATGTTTATGTTTGATGACACCGGAGGGTGAATGGATTAATCATTGAACAATATCATGGGATAATGCATGGTATGTAGTGCGTAGTAACAACTTGAAATGTACAGATGGGATATAGTGTAAACAATATGGACGGATAATGGAATAAGATAATGGAATAAACGGGCATGTAACTATGTTGTGGGAGTAGTGTGTTTTTTTTTTAATGGCAAATTGATGAAAACTGTTATATAGTTTGACCCCAATCTGAAGATATTAGAACGACCTCATGTCGCGACGTCCCCAAATCGGGGCCAACATGGTTTAGACAGTTAGGCATGAATGTTCCATTTATATCTATATATATATAATATGAAAAATGTGGACCAGATACATAATGGTTTATACAGATATTCCAAATGGGGACCACAATGATGTTTTTTTTATTGACTATCAGATAGGCAGCCCATGCGGGGCAAGCTCCGCATTCTGCGGTGAGATTCCTTCGACCAGGAAGTGGTTTATCCCAGCGTGGATGAGGTGAATAATCGGGTAAATCTTTCAACTGTCAGTCATTTCAGTTCCTGTTCCCATTAGATGTTTACATGGTACATAAATCCATATTTTTCATTGTGTCCCTATAGATTCCCATTCTGATTCATGATATATTATATTACTAATTACATCCCCAGAATATTCCATGTTTTTTTTGAGCCGCTACATCTGGGCTGAAGCTTCAACATCTGCAAGACTGAAGTCATGGGTGCCGGTGCCCATCACCAAGCCATGTGGTAAGCCCCACGCAGTTTTCCGCAGCGAGTTTTTACCAAACATGGGCTGTGGAATATCCCGAGAATGGGAAGTTATCTTCTCTGGATTTACCGCATTTTATACTTATTCTGTGTGAATGTAGTAAATTCAAAGATAATTGGTATATATAATTATACATTACTATATATACATATATAGTTATATATATAATTATATAATTATATATAATTATATATATAATTATATATATAATTATATATATATGTATACATATATACATATATATTCGGAATATCCAAATAATATTCTCCAACCGGATTTTCATCAATGGGACCCCTTTATCGCTGGATGGTCTATTTCATGGAAAATTCCCAACAAAAAATGGATGATAACTTTGGGCACTCCCAAAGCTTTAGGAAATCTCCATATATCATACGCTAATGTATGGTAACACCGCCAGGGAAAAATCGGTGATTTTCCTATAAGTTGGCGATGATCATCCATGGACTAACCCGAGAGTTGGGTTAGTTGCTGTGAAATATCACCATGTTGGAGTCCCATAAGATCCAGGTGGATTCACCAGTGGAACCCAGTAACTGGGTCCATGAGAATCCCCATTTTTTAGATGTGTTGTAGGTCTTGACGTGTCCGAATTCTCAAGAAAATCCCATGAAAATCCCATGAAATTCCATGAGAATCAGATGACATGCCAATTGAACACCATAAACGCCATGAATTTTCATGGTTACTGTACCCCCCAATCCCACGATAAAGCCATCCCATACTACTCCCGCCAGGATGCGCCTGGAGTAATGCCCAAGGCTTTCGATCTTTCGGTCCGTTGAATCCAGAGTATTTTCTTATCTGTGATTGATAGTGGTTTTCTTTGTGGGTAAACACCACATCAATAGTGATTAACGGAAATGATGAACTAACCAGTATAGTGATTCATGGTGATTGATAGTGATTGATATACAATGAACCTGTGATGTTTTTTTTGCCAGAAGATATATCAGTTAGATTAATGGTGATATATATATATATATATCATATTATATGTAATATATAATTGTATATAACCATATATATATATATTTACACATATTTAACTTGGGATGTATGAAATAATGAACAATTAATGGTTTTTTTTTAAGATAGGAACTCTTTGGATTTTTAAGAGACAACCGGTTAATCCAGCACTAGGGGAATCTACTCCTCACCTCAGTTGACTTCACCAATGGACCAAATGTTGATGGATGTTGATGGTCAGCAACGGATACTTATCCCAAAATGTCCTTACATCCAGTAAACTAGCAGTTGGCTATTGAAATTGCCATGTATAGTTGATATTAGTTGATTTGCCTACTTAAAATGATGATGTTCAGTGCATAAACTTCCCGGCGGACCGGGAACCGTGCTCGTAAAACGCACGTTTTTAAAAAAAATGTCCTTTTCGCTACAGCGAAACGCACACTTCTATGAGCAAAATTTTGCCAAATTTTCGCGCGAAAAGTTGGCCAAATTCGCGTTTCGTGAGAAGGTTTTTGGCACTTTCTATCGGACACTTTTTCTCCCCCTTGCAGACCAGGCGTTTCAGCGTCGAGATGGTTTTTTGCTGAAGGCGAGTATGTCCACCCCACCTGACCCCACCGCACCCCATCAGCATGCAGCGTAGAATCATGTCACGCAGCAACGATCCCAGAGATCTCTGCAGCGTGGCAACATATAGTGTGCGAAGTAGAAGGAACGTTAACATGCCCCCCCCCGCCCCACCCCATCAGCAGCGTAGAATCATGTCACGTAGCAACGATCCCCAAGATCTCTGCAGCGTAGCAACCTATAATGTACGAAGTACATTCAAAAGACTGAATCTGTCCACTACTGCCCTACATGTCCACTCATGCCCCCTCACCTCCTTCAGCTGTTGCGCCACACATCCTCAGAGCACCGGATTTCAGCTGGTCCACCGAACAAATTGATTGTGTGGCTTTAGACCCTTTAGGATCGTTCAGGTTTAATACCAGGATGCTTGGGTATTAGGCTTACTGTAATTGTATTTGTATATTAAGTGTATATGTGTTCCAAATTGGCTAGCCTTCGGAAAGAAGCTAGATCTTGCTACCAAATCAGTGTTCACGGACAGCTTGTGCTGAGGTACGGTACCTATTGCCCTGCCATGGCACCTATGAGTGCGCCAATGCGTGCCTTTCCCGTACGACAGTGCCAGGGGCCTGTGATTTATGGAGCGGACATGCAATGGGGCCACGGGTCCGACCGTGATGGTGAAAAAGTGGAAATTAACGTGATAACCACAATGCCAAACACCTCTGGGGTGGGAGTAATGAACCTGCTTCTGGTTTATTGCTGGGCGTGCCAGATTCTTCGCTCAGCATGAAATGTCAAGAATTGAGTCAAGAATGTTGATGGAATGAGATGCTCATGAATGATGGTTAGGTTGCTAAATCCGTTCATGATGATGACAAATCAGCATTTTCCAATCATGTCACATATTACTTGAAATAAATGCGTACGCTCAACATCCATTTACGTGATGAACTTGATGATCCAAATTCACCCCCTTTCTGATGTACTCCATTATATCTACCTACCTATCTACCTATCTACCTATCTACCTATCGATCTATCGATCTATCGATCTATCGATCTATCGATCTATCGATCTATCGATCTATCGATCTATCTATCTATCTATCGATCTATCGATCGATCTATCTATCTATCTATCTATCTATCTCAATGATATCTTCCAGGTATCCCTGGGGATCCAGGAGCCAGGCAAGTTGCACCCCCTCAGGGAGGCTATCCAATCGGATGAGTTCTGAGTCGTGCCATCGCCGTACTGAGCTGGTGCCGACATGGCCTTGATGGAACTATGGAACTTAATATCACTATCATATATCGCTATATTAACAGATATCAACAGATATTAAGAATATTATTGATGATGGCACCTGCAATGAAGCACATGTAGGAAAATTGGCGATGCTCCGACGGTCGATGTTTGTTTTTTCCTTCAGGTTGCATGTTTAGTTTCAGTGGTACAGCAAATTTAAACAGCTTTCGCACGGCGGATTTCGAAATGATCCTGAATGTTGCATCACGTGCAGCGAACAAGGAGCACTGGCGACAAAACATGTCAAAGCACTGCAACCGCTTGACTCAAGCGACAAAATCATGAGTCCAACACTTTGACTTTGATAACTCAAATCATTTTTAAAAGACAAATACATCATAATGTGTTCATGAGCGACCCAAAGGACAAACAGACTACTATTATGCTGCGGTGGAGCACGCTAAAAGAATAGTTTTCAATTTCAAAGAATCTTGATCAAAACTGCCAGTGAAAAGGTATCTGATCTAGACCTCCCCAAACTAGACCCCCAACATCTTTGGGAATACGGACAGTTTTTCAATTAGTTTCTCCTCCTTCGGAAACAATGGTTTGGTCTAAATTCGGTATACAAATACATTTCGAATAGCAGTTGCCTCGGCTTCTTCGTAGTTTATCTTGTCAAAACGTGAAGATATCCGCACGTTGGCTGGGAAGAATCCAACTTTTTGGAGGGGAAAAGCATCGACATCAATGGATACAAGTGGGAAATTGCCACAAAAACTACAGGCGGGCAAGACTAGCATCTTTACGTAAGAATACGTAAGACTAGTTTTGACCATCCCATCCGTTTGGGCCACAAAACCAAAATGATGGTTGTGATCAAAAAAAGTAGTTTGCTCCAAGCAACGTCTTTGGGCACCCAAGAGTTCAGCGTTTTTGGGGAAGCACCTGTTGCTTGTAGGAAACTCCCACATTTCAACTTGGTGGTTTCTCCTACTCAGGAGGCAGGTGTTCAAGTGACTTGTAACTAGACTCCGTACTTACATACCCTCTGAAAATTTGACATTGACATTGACAATGGCCATTTTAAGTTCGGTAAGTAATTTCTCACTACATGGGCCATGTCTTTGATAGAAAATTGTTAAATGACCAGAGGACAACAGGGTATATAACCAGAACCTACTTTGCATGATGAACAACCAAGTTGAATAGCACACGTTCGTCCCTTCATGCGGAAGAACCAAGAGTTCATGGCAGCATTTCCCCTTGATTTGGGCAGAATCGCCAGGGCTTGTGCAAAGACTAAAGCAAAGTGCATCCAAATCCAACGCTTTAAAACTTAACAACATGTTCCTCATGTTCAAATTGGGAGATCAAAAACCTTCGTTTTTTGAGGCAAACATCGTTATAGAATGAGGCAAGACAAAACTGTCACATCCCCAAGGATATTTACATTCCAAAATCTATGGGATTTTCCAGTGGGAAATCCACCGGTTTCCCAAAAAAACAGGTCAATTGGACTGGAAAAGAGCTGGCCTGTGCCCTTTATGATGGCCTGGTCGTGGCGGAACCCAGTGGTTTGGGCTGCTTTGAGATTGGCGTAAGCGACGATGGATGTTGAATGAATGTTGGATGACGAATCATAAAGGAATGTACTGGGGAAACTCACTGGAGTATTTTTTTGATACATAAACATCTTTTGCCGCTAATGAGTATATTTGTTATTGACTAAGTGGCTACAACCGATGTTTTGGCGGTTCCTGTCTGAGATTGGACAGGAGATGAACAGCAAGGGGCAAAATGATGATACACTGCAATTTAATCAGCAACCGGGAAGTAATCGCAGCAAAATGTTCGGATTTTAAGCCACTTGGGTTCACCCTTTGGTCATAGTCAGTAATACTCAATATGACAATCTAACAGTTTATGAGGAAGCAAGTATTGAATATTGGGATGCAAACCAACGACCGGGATACGACATGATGCAATTTGGGACCTGCGGAAATGGGTGATTTGAATGCCAATGTCCGACAGTTTCTTCCATTTTGCCTCCATTTCAATCATGGATTCCCGCTTTTCCCAGGCCGATGGGAAGCTCAAGGCACACGTTTGTGGTTTTGGACCCATGGAGAATACATTGACAAGTCAAGTAAGGTGTTCTGACATTTTCTCAGGTTGAGAATTGAGAGGTGTGACGCATCTGTGAGACATCTCAGATCGTCTGAAGGTTTGTAGACGGCTTTTAGTTCCAGTCGTCATCTTATTTGGGTATATTGGTAGATTTTGGTAGATTATAGCCAATTATAGCAACCACTTTTGGAAAAGATATTCACGCAAACTCATCGCCTTGGTATGTGTATTTGGTGAAGCATGATTGTGGGCTGGTTGGATTTTAATGTTTTTTTGGTGGCATCCTGTTTTATTCATAATTGGCCTAAATTTGCTGAAGTTACGGATATTTATGGATATATTATCGACATATTTGTTCTAGAACCTGGGTTATAGTAGTTACATGGATATTGATATAAATGGGTACAATCCAGCTATAGAAAAACACGTTTCTGAGAGCCATAGATGTTTCACGTGTCCAAACCTGCAGGAGGAGCCTGCGTTCATCCGCGCCATATGCGAAGCGAAGCGGCTTGGCAGAAATGTTGCGACATTGGACGACCTTGATTAGCCTGATATCAAGTGATACCGGTATTGGGTGATAATTATTTGGTAGAACTTGAAGCCTTTAATATATACCATGAAGTTTGTAAACACATTAGTCTCTAGATAAGACATACACCTTTAAAAGTATGTGTTAAAAATGATTAATCATTAAAAATCGATAATTATCCACAAATGGGTTTGTCTGAAAATGGTCCGTATATCTATGTACACCTCCAATTTCCGTGGATGATCATCAGCTATTCAAATGGCAATTCTGGGGTATACCATGAAACTTGTTGGATGGGATATCTCCACTTGGGATCATCCCAAGTGGCATTCTCATGTGATGCGTGGCTGAAATTCATCGGATGATTATCTCAGGACCATGCTAAAACGGTTCATCCCCAATTTCGCGATGTCTCTTCCCATCTTACATTGCAATATTTCATCTGAAAAAACAAATATAGTTTTCCATACGTTTCCCCATGTTTGCTTGCTACAAGGCGCGTGATTATCATTGGTTCTCATCCCATTACAGAAACAATTATTAACCATTAATATTAATATGTTCTCATCCCCATCGCCAGAGCCATTGGCTTGCCCCTCCAAGGATTGCAGAGCTGTTCGCCAGCCAGAACCTAAGAGTTGATAGGCATATTATGGCCTTCAAATTTCATCAAATTCAGACCTACATGAGATCTTCCAGGAAAAATCACTGGGATACAATCGGATAATTCTCAATTTTTGGGTTCACAATAAAGTATGTGCCCAAAAAATGGATGGCATAGTGCTAATGATGCCAATTCCATGAGACCGTTGTTATTCCATGTTGGGTGGTGATACTCATGTGATACCTTTTGAATGGCGCGAGTCTCGGTTTGCAAATCACAGTGCCAGTTTTTAACGGCGACTATATAATCACGACAGTGAGTTATTGATGATATTTGAATTTAAACCTCACAAGAACAAGAACGTTCCTGAAAATGATTCTTTGAAAGGGAGATTCTCCCCAAAATGAGATTATTTCTGACTTAGTATATACTTAGATCTTAGTGGTGCTGGCGGATTTTGAGTCAATCCCATGTTCGAAGTGTTGCTGTAGCACCTTTTTCAAGATGTGACCAAGGCGCAGAATATCCCCTGAAGACCCAACATCAATTGGACGCGCTTCGACCTGTTGCAAGAAAAAATAGAGTATTTTTTCTGGTAACTAGTGTAATTGATTTTCCAACGTTAGTAAACCCACTGTGGTCAGTCGTCCCCGCGTGTTTGTTGATTCTATGCCAGCACAATAAACCGGCGCAAATTCCTCGATTTTTCACAGCAGAGTTTCGTTCTCTTGATGAATCTTCATTTTCACTGGTCAAACACATTTGTTTTGGGTAGTTTTAGATGTTTTAGACCACCCAGTTCTGTTGGTCGACCATACCAGATGGCTACCACATCCGCCCTATCCGAGGCGTCGGACTGGATGGTGCCACGATGGCGTCCTTCGACACTCCCGGTGCGTGGATTGGACAACTGGAATGTTGGTCTTGTTTGAAAATAGCCCAGCGATTGCCCAAACAGTTTATGGTTTATCGTGGTTTATCATTGTTTTTGATAATTATTTATTAATATTTACCAGTAGTACCGCACAAGGCGGTGGCGGAAGTTTCAAAAATAGGAAACCTATAAGAGAGGTTGGTTGTTGTGAATCAGGGATGGCAAAGCGAATCCACTGATGGACCGAAAGGTGCTTGAGGTCTCCTCTCTGTCTCTCTCTTTCTCTGACTATCTACCTACCTATCTATCTTCCATGTATCTATGTATCTATGTATCTATCTATCTATCTATCTAGCTTTTATCTCTCTCTTTCTCTCTTTCAATCTAATACCTTGAGACCTATCGACCTATCTCCTATCTATCTATCTATCTATCTAGCTCTCTTTCTCTGACTATCTACCTACCTATCTATCTTCCATGTATCTATGTATCTATGTATCTATCTATCTATCTATCTATCTATCTATCTGTGGTCCAGTGTCATTCAGTGTATTGTAGTGTAGTGTAACGTGGTGTAGTGTAGTGGAGTGTAGTGGAATGCAGTGTAGTGGAGTGTAGTGGAATGCAGTGTAGTGTAATGTAGTGTAGTGTAGTGTAATTTCGTGTAGTGGAGTGTAGTTGTGTAGTCGTAGTTGTAGTTGTAGTGTAGTGGAGTGTACTGTAGTGTAATGTAGTGAAGTGTAGTGGAAGGTAGTGTAGTGTAATGTAGTGTAGTGTAGTGGAGTGTAGTGTAGTGGAGTGTAGTGTAGTGTAATTTAGTGTAGTGTAGTGTAATGTAGTGTAGTGTAGTGTAATTTAGTGTAGTGGAGTGTAGTGGAGTGTAGTTGTGTAGTTGTAGTTGTAGTGTTGTGGAGCGTAGTGTAGTGTAATGTAGTGTAGTGGAGTGTAGTGTAATTTAATGTAGTGTAGTGTAGTGGAGCGTAGTGTAGGGTAATGTAGTGTAGTGAAATTTAATGTAGTGGAGTGTAGTGGAGTGTAGTCTAGTTGTGTAGTTGTAGTTGTAGTGTTGTGGAGTGTAGTGTAGTGTAATGTAGTGTAGTATAGTGTAGTGTGGTGTAATGTAACGTAGTGTAGTGTAGTGATGCGAAGCGGCGAAACGACATCTGAACCTCCAAAAGTGGTCCTAACCTGGTGTGTTTTGTACATTTTCACTTCGAAATCTGCTTCGCGCCACAACGGCGTGCACTTTTTCGACATCTGAACCTCCAAAAGTGGCGCGAACATGTGGTGTTTTGTACATTTTGACTTGGAAATGTGTTTCGCGTCACAACCGCGTGCACTTTTTCGACATCGCAACTTCCAAAAGTGGTCCGAGAATGGTGTGTTTTGTACATTTTGACTTGGAAATGTGCTTCGCGCCACAACGGCGTGCAACTTTTTCGACATCTCAACTTCCAAAAGTGGTCCGAGAATGGTGTGTTTTGTACATTTTGACTTCCAAATGTGCTTCGCGCCACAACGGCGTGCAACTTTTTCGACATCTCAACTTCCAAAAGTGGTCCGAGAATGGTGTGCTTTGTACATTTTGACTTCCAAATGTGCTTCGCGCCACAACGGCGTGCACTTTTTCGACATCTCAACTTCCAAAAGTGGCTGGTGTGTTTTGTACATTTTGACTTGGAAATGTGCTTCGCGCCACAACGGCGTGCAACTTTTTCGACGTCTCACTTCCAAAAGTGAATGGTGTGTTTTGTACATTTGACTTGGAAATGTGCTTCGCGCCACAACGGCGTGCACTTTTTCGACATCTCAACTTCCAAAAGTGGTCCGAGAATGGTGTGTTTTGTACATTTTGACTTCCAAATGTGCTTCGCGCCACAACGGCGTGCAACTTTTCATCTCTCCTCTGGCCAGATGGCTCCGCACCCGCCGCTTTAGCGAGCCTACTTTTCGACCCCCCGGAGCCACAAATCATTGGAAAAACGCAGTGAATCGCGACTTTCCTACCTTTTCGTGCATCTCCATCTTCTTTCTTCTTACTCTTTCTCTTCTACTCTTTTCTCTTCTGATCTTTCTCTTCTCTCTGCCTCTGCCCTGCTCTGCTTTTCATCTGTCCATATTGTCAGAAGTTTGACTTCTAAACTTCCTTCGATTAATGTATATCGCCATATTCCCAATGCAAAATGAAAACTGTCTATACTGAAACAATCCCATATGCAAAGAACTGAGGGGTTAACCAGCCATGGTTCCCAGGCAGTTCCTCAGCTCATGTGGGCAAACGACACCAGTTCTTTGCATCGAGCTTTAGTAATACACAATAACCAACATGTTTATGTATACAATGTAGTGAAATATTCATAATAATCTATCACAATGATACCATTGTACTAGATACAATAATGATCTATTCAACGCTGATCACAAATATAATGTATATATAAATATATATTCCACATGTATATCCAATTCATATTATAGAATTATCTATTACGATAATACCACTAGATAATCCCAAGGATTTGACGCCATGGTCAGGGCCTTTGGAGGTCAGCATTCGCAAGGTCACACAGGGAGAGGCCGCCCGCGCTTTCGCAACAGTGTCCGAAATCTCTGGGGAGTTCACCAGGAAAAAAAAATTGGGATTTCAGCCAAAATGAGCGGTTTCATGAACAAAGATGGAAGGATTTCATCACGAATAAGGGTTTCAACAGAAAAGATCGCAGGTCAAGCAAGACATTTGGAGAGTTTCACCTGCAAGACTTTGGGATTGAAGCGATCGAACCACAGACATATCTGTATTTGGCACAGGATTGGTGGAATGTACCAGGTGACTTGCAGAACTTGTGATCGCGGCAATCATCAACGAAAGTATGGGGGTATATGCCACAGGCCACAAGAATGGAGTGGAATCGAACTCACAAACATACTTGCCAGTATTGCGGAAGGAATCAAACTAGTCTTGCAAAAGAAATGGGGAAAATAGGTTAATTTCCCATTATTGTGTGATAGTTTCACCAAGACTTACCTGATTTATGCTGTAGTTTCTGCGGTGACACCGCAAGGTCGGTGGTTTGGTTGATTTTTGTTTCAGCCTGGTATGAAGAATTATCACAATTTATCGGATGTGTTTGGCCTGGCTGTACCACCAAGATCCAGCAAGTAGTAAACCAGTACCTGTTGATCAGAGATGATCAAACGATTTTTGGTCAACATCCGGTTGTTTTTACTGCCATGCCCATTATGCCCTGATTGGTTGGATGCTGCCCACCTTTCCAGGCATGGGTGGATGATGTGGTTCTAGACTCAGAAAATTGCTGCAGTTGGAGAGGGGGATTGAAATCGCAGGTAACCTGCCCCAAAAGTTGAATTTTGTACCAGCAACATAAACCAACAGCAAACATGAGTCTTTAAACTGATTCAATCAACTTCAACCAACAGAAATGTTGCTATTAAGGTATTGGTTTTGCATGGTTTTACGAATATGGAGACCAAGTCCGGCTCAGATTTTGGGTGACTGAGATCTCTGGTCTCGTCAATATGCTACCGGAATCTGCCGCCCATACAGAGGAGCATGCGGTGCGGGATCCGAGTGTTTGATGCGTGCGAAGCTGATCCCTAGATACCCTAGTTGTCCCTAGTTGTTCATGTTTGGTTTTAATCTATGGTAGTGTATGGATGTGAATGGTATACACATGAAAAATAGACATTAAAAGGTTGAATTGAGTTGAGCTCTTAGATAATTTGGTTTGATGGGTGTTCTGGATCTGGTCAAATTCAAGTATTGGAACCTCTATCAACCAGTAGGTTTGGGGATGGCAGAAGCTGACTTGGGGCGCTGGCGCTCATTTGTGGAGTCAGTGCGTCGTGGTTATCGTCCTGTCGAGTCTTGAGGAAATGGCTAGGTTTCGCCGACGCTTCTAGCAGACCACGCCTGCGAAATCTTTGGGACATTTTTCATGGCAAATATTCTTGACATTATCCTCCGATTCATTGTTGTTTTTACCATCCCTATTTTTGATGGTCAAACCCAATATTTTGTTGGTTACATGATTTGGCGAAGGGATTCCCACATATGGGCTGTATTTTTTTGTTTTCCAAACGTGTACACAGGTTTCGGTATTTTTTGGGCACTAAATGCAGATTGGAATCATCCGCGTTCAGTGGAGGGATTGAGCCACCGGGCGGCTCCTGGAAGGTAATCCTCCTCCTTTGGATATGGTATCCTTGCCAAGGTCATTCAACAAACACCGCCCACAAACAACATCCACCACTGAAAAAAACTCCACTGCGGTGGAACCGTCTTGGAGCATTTCCTAGGCTGAAGAGCAAGTTTGGTGGCTGGATGCAGAGTCAAAGCCAAGAAAACCCCAGATGTTTGGGGATATGATGGGGAATTCAACCAACAACAACAGGGATATACAGGGATATTAATATTGTATGATATGTTCCAATTTCGGTTGGCTTAACCTCTAAAGTCATAATCCCAACACCATAAACCATCCCGAATGACTTTCTAGAAATGGTTGGGAACCATACCATCCGCAATTGGAGGCATCGTGTTTAGCACCATGGCTGCACATCTGAAAGTTTGTTGGCGCTACCCCTCCTCCTGAAAAAGGTGAAACAATCAAAGGGCTCATGTGGCACAGATCTGCCAGCTGTACAGGCACACACCCACACGCACACACATCTATGGCTTACTAACATCAACAACATTGGAAATTTCACCGAATAGCTCCCATTTATTGTCTATCGATCTAATTCGATCTATACTACATTATACACTATATACTATACACCATGTACTTTCTACTTTATGCTATATACTATATAGTATACACCATACACCATGCACTATACACTATATACTATACACTATACACATTAGGAGCACGGCCTCTAGATGGCTGTGTGTTTTTTTTGATTCATGGGATGTTGTCGATGATATTGGATGTGCTCGTGCCAGTAGAATTGTGTGTTATTTTTTGTGTAAAGGCAGTCAACACCTTATTTACAGGCAGCGGAATGAAGAGCCATTTCGCCTACACGAAACCTCCATTTTTGTGCTTTCTTCACAGCCCCACACTAATTGGTTTCCACGATTTTTTAGCCGTCTTAGTCTTTTGTTCACAGCAGCACTTCAAGTTCTTCCAAGAACCTTTTAGGATCTGGATTCCGCAAGCTTGATCGCCGTTAATACATGTCCCATCCAACCCCCCACCCCTGCAAAACGCCACGGCCATCTAGGGGCCGTGGTCCCACTATATATTATATACTATATACACTGTTCACACTACACTATACACTATACTATACTGTATCATTATCTTTACTATATCATTATCTATACTATATCATTGTATATCATTGTTTATACTATATCATTATCTATACTATATCATTATCTATACTATATCATTATCTATATCATTATCTTTACTATTTCATTATCTATATATTTTCTATACTATATCATTATCTATATCATTATCTATACTATATCATTATCTATACTATATCATTATCTATACTATATCATTATCTATACTCTATCATTATCTATATCATTATCTTTGCTATATCATTATCTATATATTTTCTATACTAGATCATTATCTATATCATTGTCTATACATTATTATTACCTATACTCTATCATTGTCTATACTGTATCACTATCTATACTATATCATTCACTATACTATATATAATTAATTCAGTTTATTATATCATTTACGATATATATATATATAGTTATTGATCAGATATGTGTACAGTGTAGACTATGTCACATGTAGCATATATGTTTGTATATGTGCTGCAGCCATTTTAGCCATTTTAGTGCTTTCAGCTACCTTCGAGCTGACTGAGTAAAAGGTGCTGATCAGTGCTCAGGAGTGTTCATCAGATTTAAGAGCCCAAATTCTCTGTTCATGGTAGCGGAGCTGAGGTTCTGATACCCAGCTGTGAATGTGTAGGTGTCAACGCCGAGCTGCATCAGCTCTGGCGCGCCCACCCAGTGCCAACTGGAAAAGGTTGACACTCAAGCTCCTGAAAATCAGGAAAATCCAAAGATACTTCCATAACCTTGGAGTGCATCTCCAAAGGTACCCAAGGGTTCTCTTGAACCAGGTCTCTAAGCACCTGAAGAACGACTAAGGATGGCTCAGCAACAGCAGCCACCTCAGCAACCAGGCACTCCACCGGCACCACCACAAGCACAAGGCAACGGTCCCAACATGTCCCAGATGATCATGCAGATGATGGCCCAATTGACTCAGGGTCAGGCGCAGTTGAATCAGGCAATGACCGAGGCTATGAACCAGCAGCTACAGATCAACAGAAATGTTGAGAGGTCTGTTGAGTACAAAGACAGATCAGAGTTGAAAGGCATACCCAAACCTGATAAGTTCACTGGAGCATCAGGCACTTGGGATAGTTGGTGGTACAAGTTTAAGACATGGGTTGAAAGTTGCCACAAGAACGCTGTGAAGATTGTGGCACAAGTCGAGTCTCAGTGTGACAAAGAGATCACTGAGTCAAGTCTAGAAGTAGACTTTGATGAAGGCGCCGAGCTAGTTTCAGCTCAGGCTAGACAAGCCCTCATATCATTGACTGAGGGAGAAGCGTTGGAAATTGTCAAGAACACATCTCGTGGTAGCCACTTTGGCCTAGAAGCCATGAGACGACTGTTGTGCAAATATGATGCTCAAAATCCTCAAGCCAATTCAGCCTTGTTGAAAAAGGTTCTGCATCCAAGTCAATGCAGTCTTGACAAGCTTCGAGAAGGGCTTGAGAGTTGGGAGAACTTGAAAAGAAAGTACGAAGACAGGAGAAAGAAACCACTTGAAGATGACATCTGCAGGAGTTGCTTGCAGCAGATGTGTCCCAACAAGTTGCAAGATCATTTGGACTTGCAGGCTTCGAGATTGACCACGTATGACCAGGTGAAAGCTGAAGTTTTGGCCTATCTCGAGAATGTCGAGACCAGAAAAGAAGCAAAGTCAGGAGCCGTTCCCATGGATGTGGATTCCCTTGCTAAGGGTAAGGGAAAAGGAAAACATGATAAAGGGAAAGGCAAAGGTAAGTCCAAAGGTAAAGACAAAGGAAAGAGTCAGTCTTCGTCTTGGTCAAACAATTCATACAACAAGTCTTGGAACAATCAGTCTTGGAACAATCAATCTTGGAATCAGCAGTCTTGGTATAAACAAAACACCAATGACTCCAAGAGCAAAGGGAAAGGCAAGAAAGGTCAAGACAAAGGTAAAGGTAAAGGTGATCAAGGCAAAGGTCGTAAAGTTGCTAATGTTGAGTCTGACACTTGGGCTCAAGAGCAACAACCTGCAGCATCGTCTGGTGATCAACCTGAACCAGAGATCACCGCGCTGTTTGCCTTGGAAGACACTATGCCACCCAAGTCTGAAGCTCGAGATGAATCTTCTCGTCGTGGTCGAAGCCCAAGACGAGCAAACCTTCAAGCACCTTCAAGGAGCACTGTGACCAGGAGCGCTATGGTTATGGCTCAGAGTGCTTTGGCATCAGCTTCTGGGTCCAACAAGGAACTTTTCAGTAAGATGATTGCTCAGGCTGAGAGCGCTGTCAAGGAAGCTCAGGACAAAGGGCTCCAAGCAAATCAAGCTCTTAAGGAACGCCAAGAAGCCCTGGACAAGTTGAAGAAAGAGGCAGCCCAGCATCACAAAGAGGCCAAAGAGGCAATGGCCAAAGTGAGGGCAGAAGGCCGTGCTGCTTCAGCACCGGCTGCACCCTCTCGTCGGATGCAAGCCGACCTTGAGGCTGGAGTACATCCAAGAGCTGCCAAGAAGAAGGAGAAGGACAGGCAGAGAGCT